AAAAGTACAGCTTTGTAGTTGCTGAAGAAGTTGGAAGTTTTAACTTCATTAGTGCTTTAAAGGTGCTTTTTCTACAGTGAGTAAATATGCAGCGTATATGAAGATGGGCCGACCTCTTATTCCTATAAGAATTCAAATGCTCATTAAAGAAAAACAGTAATGAAAAGGAGCACCACCCTGCAGTTCTCCTTGCTCAAGAAGAAATGAAATCATTTTCACGTATCAGAATAAGTTCAGGTGCAAACTTGAGACCAGTGATAAATGGCTGGAAAAAATAAATAAATAAAAATAAATAAATAAAATTAAAAAAACGAGCACCAGCGGGACATTGCTGTGTTGCCTGTGTTACAATTCAATGCAAAAATATTTTCAACATTTCCTCACAGACACTAAAATACGGCAAAAATCCGCCTGACTTTTATAAACAAGTGAGCGCAGAAACGTGACAGACACCCGACATTTTATTTGTCGTTCTTGAAACAGATAGTGTGACAAAAGTGGCATTCACGGCGTCAACCAGCCTTGAACAGACACCCTCTACAAGAATAAATAAGCTAATAATGATGTGGAGCACAGAGAGGCGCGCTGGAGCTGCGTTCACTGTTCACCGGCCCCTGAGTCTGACACGGAGCTCGAGCAGCTGAACCTCGCTGCTGTTCAACAGCCTGTAGTACTCACGAATATACAAAACCCACAGCGCTACAGTCAATTAACAATATTATACTCACGCTTGCCTCCTGGCTATTAATCTATGCATGGGAGTCGCCATGTTGCAGGTTACTTTTTCTTCTTTGTTGGCGTTAAATAAGCGCGTATTTCCGGCCCAATCAACTCCGTTATCGCCTCCTATGGGTAAGGAAGGTCTACTGCATGTATTTGTAATCATTAACATTTAATTCACAGCAGCCCTGACGTTTTGTGTGTGTTTTCTTAAATAATACTATGCAAAAGTCTTGAGCAACTCCTCATTTTTCTTGATATTTTGCTTATAAGGAACAGAATATTATTCTAAGTGTTCTTGAGCAATGGTTCTGCAGGCTTCCTGAATTCTGTCAAAGTTTTCCTTTGGACATTCGCTGTTATTTTCCCTCCGTTTCAGTCCAGTCTGTGTATGTAACACTTAACTCTGACCTATGAATCATTCAAACATACAAAAGCCATCTAAGTGATAAATGAGTATGGTGGCAATACAGATCAGACAATTAAAGACACAATTTCAAATTGTATGTCGTTAAATTGTAATCGACAACTACAAAAAAGCTCTCTTCGGCAGATGAGAAGTATCTCAAAGTCATCCTTAAGAAACAGGACAAAATCCAGTAAAGACCTGACTCTTAATCCATCTGTTTGACAAAATGGTCTGAGTGAGTGTCAAGAAGCCATTCTTAAGAATGGGAAACAGCCCGAGGTATGCTAAATTAGAAAAAAAAAGTGGTCTGAAAATCAGTGTAATTTGAAATTTGTGAGTCGAATCATCATCAGTTTGTGCAGAAGAGGTCAGGAGAGACGTACAACTGTGAGTGTCTGTAGAATCTGTAAAACAAAATGCAGATATGAATCCCCTACATCATGTAAATCTCATGGTGTTGGAGTTCTTGTTAAAACTGATAAATTATGACTGCAGAAAAGCACAGTCAGAGTTTGATCCTCCACGCAATACAGTCTGGAAAGCATGACAGTGATACCAAACGCACTGCCAATACCTCAAAAGCATTATCCAAATATGTGTACAAACTCACAAACTCAGTTTTTTCTTGTATTTCCATTTGGTTTGAACATGTTTCAATATCTTGGTGCATTGATTTCCTATGTTTCAAATAAAATATAAATGAATTAGAGTTTAGTGCAGTACTGTGATACATGTGATTCATTTATACTACATTAAAGGAAAAAATGTGCCTCACATAATAATGTTTCGTTTACAATCAGCATATAATGGCATATAAACATTCTGTTTATCATATTTCTCCCCAGCTTCTTATTTCCACTTTCTGTGGAAACAGTTACTGAGGTTAAGCATTCAGTTATCTGTCACCAACACAGTGCACACTTTCAGCAGTCAAGTGTCACCACACCCACCTGCATTTACGATTTGTCAGAGCTGCGTTTACATGTCATCAGCTCTCTTCTCTGTTTCATAGATTCTTAAATAAATGACATTTTGTTTTTGCAAACCAAACCAAAAAAGTGTTATGTCAGCTACTATTTTATACTAATTATTTATAATGATTGGTAATTTTATATCATGAAAATTACTAAGGAGAACGTATTTAAAAACTAATCTTTTTCAGTAACAACGACTTTAAAAATTGCTATGCTTTAGTTGTTTATAATTAATTTGTTTAATGTTATTATATTTTCTTATTTTCCCCACGACTTTGCTCTGAGCTGGGTCATTTACATTTTTTTTTATTTCTAATAAAATAAAAACAAAAAACAAAACAAAACAAAAGGGGACAAAAATGACTTCATCACTTTTTGCATCACAGTCTATTTTTGTTTCCCCACCCTGATTCGATTCCAGAATTCATCAAGCTAGTCATTTGTTGATTTCACTTACTGTAAACCTTAAACTTGGAGGTTTTTTTTTTATATTATTAAATAAGAAGAAATTTATGGAGCTTTCTCCCTACACCTCGACTGTTGGAGAACTGTCTTTCACGTGGATATGGAAAAGTCCAGAGAGCGCTAGAACCCTGTAAATCTCGCGATGTCTGCGGGCGAGACGGTAAAGCAGACCTTGCCGCTGCAGCCTGCCAACACACATCAGAGACACCGGCAACAATCAGCGGTGTGGATTATGAGTAGAAGTATTTAAGACAGAGCAGCTTAACAACTTCACTTGACTGGAGCATCTTTTTTATGTTTTAAAATCTAGTTACAGGTTTATTTTCTTTACAGAAATCATACTGTATACAAAGATAAACCTAGGAGACACATATCGCTCAAGATGTCAGTGGTGGGATTTGACTTGGGCTTTCAAAGCTGCTATGTAGCTGTAGCCCGAGCTGGAGGAATCGAGACAATCGCCAATGAGTACAGCGACAGATGTACACCGTAAGTACCAAGTAAAATCTTATTATAGTTTGTGAAGGATAGCTACACAGGACAGGTTTTCATTTATAAGTGTTGTCTCACCTGTGTCACTGTAATACAAGTGAACGCAACTTCTCTGCTTTCAGCGACCATTTGTGCTCATTGCTGGGAAATTGAACTGCTTTTCCGTGTAAGTTAGTGATACATTTCTCAGCCTGTCTATGGTGAGCATGGAACCATCTAGAAATTAACTCATAAGGCTCACACCGCCTTCCAAGACCGATTATGAAGCTAAGCAAGTTAGCTGAGCTCATAGTTTTATTAACGGTAATGACAGTTTGGAGAATTGGTGTGGCTTCGCCGGTTAAAACACGACCGGGCGGTGTTTGCCACCTGTCGTTTTTAAGTAGTTGTGCTTGTCTTCAAGGCGTAAACTCCGACCAACCGGTGTGCCCCCTGTGGCAAATTGTACGCCTTGCGTTATGCTCTGTACGATGACGACAGCGGCCAATCTCTTGTTGGAATATTCTAGCAAATTTTTATGTCTTTTAGCCTTTCATGTTTTAAACGGTGTAAGGTTATATAGTATTTATTACATGAAAAACATATTGTTATCAGAAAGGTTTTTTAATATTGTTTGAATTCTGCTTATTTGGGTTCATGGCGCATTTTGTAATCCCATTAGTTAGATTTCAGTCATCGTGACTAATTTTTAAAGTCTTTACAGTATTTTCTCTTTTGTAAGAGTTCAACGTTAATATAAAGCACACAAGCGTTATTGAATGTTATACACTGTCACTGGTTTTGAATGATTAACTGGTATATTTATAGATGTATCATTACAATTTAGAATTCCCTCCCAAAGAGTATTAATAAAATGAAATAAGACCAGTTATTATATTGTAATTTATTTATAACGTTTGTATTAAACAGGGAAAGAAAAAGATAAGCATTAACGCCCAATTTATGCTTAGATGTGCACCTACTAGTCAGAAAGTCAGAAATTTAATATAATATATATAAAATGGGTTTTATGTCATGGTTATATGAAATATGTATACATCATTAAGTTGCTGAAGATACTTTATTGTGAATCAACCTGGACTTTTTAAAAATTATTTAATTTTATTCAAATTTACAAGGCAAACATGTGTCAGAGAAGTAGATCACGTATAAGATAATTTGGTGAATAGAAAGATTATACATCACAGTTTCTTGTTGTGTATATATATATATATATATATATATATATGACAAATTCACATTCAGAATCTAAACACAGAATTTCATGTTGAATATTCGTAACACACTTTGTTCTGTAAAGGCTTATACTTACTGAGTAAAAAGAAAACAAATACTTTCCTGGTAACTTGCACAACGTTTTGTCTGTTGCTCACATAAACATGTTGCATTAAATTTTGAAAAATTATGAATATTGGACATTTTTTGACAAATATTGAACTGTTTTTGTGAACTTACTCTCTACTACATCATAAACATCACAAACACCACTGTAAAAAGTCCTTTGAGTGCTCAAATAGAATAGAAAAGCACTTTATAACAGCCAGTCTATTTACCATACAACTTCCTGTCCTGTTCTTGATTGAAGATCAGCATCCGCTGAGTGACTCTCCTCAGAGACTTGTATTGTTGACATCACCACACTCCACTTGTGTGTTCATAGCAACGCTTACTCTGTGTCATCAGCATCTGTGTTTGATAGAGATGGTGATGAGAGGCAAGCCCTGTGTGATTTAAGTGGACTTACCACACCACTTCAGCCTGTGTTTATATAGTACAGACAACTCAAAACTTAAACAAGCCAGTCTGGAGCCTCAGTCCAGGTTTCAACAAGGATTATTTAGAAAAGTGCTGAAATCAACTAGTTAAAAATTGTGACCAGTGTAGATTGGTCACTGAACTATCATGTGAAGCTCTGCTAGTTGTGTCATTAATGTAGCTTAACATTTTGACTCGTGTGTGTCTAGGTCTTTTGTATCGTTTGGACCCCGAAATCGTTCGATAGGAGCTGCTGCAAAGAGCCAGGTAAAAATAAATTCACCGATACGGTCATATTTATGAGAATTATTTACAATTAAATGTAAAAAGTGGTTAATACTTGGCTTTGTTTCCTCCTGTTTTGTCTTTCTTTTTTTATTCAGGTGGTGACCAACTATAAGAACACAGTGCAGAGCTTCAAGCGATTACATGGCAGAGCGTTCACAGATCCTTACATCCAGTCGGCCAAGTCTAACTTGGTGTACGAGCTGGCACCGATGCCCTCTGGGGCCACCGGTATAAAAGTAAGACTGTATTTTCTAACCAGGTTTCTGCCCTCAGCTTAGCTGATGGGAAATAATTAATCAAAAGAAAAAAAAGACCATTAAAAGAAAATTAACCGAGAGACCGCACAGTAGATACAACAGCTTATTTCTGACTATGTTGCATCCTCCACTCACTACATGCTGTGCTCTAAGAAGTGCGTCATGTAATACTTTTTGCTCTGATTCATAGCATTCCTACTTCATCTTCCCATTTAATCCTAAAAACACTTTCAGTATGTTGTACTTATTTCTGCAGGGATTTTGTCTCTTGGAATATTATCCTATGGGCAAAATGATAATTGTGTTGGTGATATGAACCGTACGCTTTGCTGACTGCCTAAATGTGAAAAATGTACACATTTCTGGCACTAACAGATGATGACTGTGAGACTCCAGAAATACCCAAAGTTATTGCAAGTGCATAAATGACAATGCTTCGCTTGGCACACTGCAAAGGCACAGAGCGGCATGTTGTAG